TGCAGTACTATGTAGTATGGTGTATTACAGTGTGGTACAGTGTAGAGCAGTGCAGTACTATGTAGTATGGTGTATTACAGTGTGGTACAGTGTAGTATCTGACCCGTAGAGAAGCAGCAGCAGAGCGAGGGCCGGCAGGTTGGTGGACGACACGTAGGCTTTTTGTTGGAAACAGATGAAGATGACAATGACGAGTGTCGCTGGAACAACGTAGTTACACTGTAGAGACACAAACACACACATCAGCACACAAACACACACTTTGAGAGGCAGTGTTCGATTTGCTGCTCACCATGTCCCACATGAAGTTGGCCACCCAGTAGAGCAGCGGCTGCACTCCGCTGATGAACTGCATGTGTTTGGCTTTATTGACTCTCTCCTGGATGAGGAAGACCACGAAGCTTGCCGGGACAAAGGACATGGCAAAGATCACACAGATGGACACCAGGACGTCCACAGAGGTCGTCACCCTAGAAACAAAGTGCAGGTGAAGCTAGATCTGTGTGTCGTTTACAGTTTTGTGTCTCAGGTGCAGGTTGTCAGGTGTGTTCACTCACAGTGCGACCTGGGACAGCTGCTCTTTGGTCAGGTTCAGAGGATGGTTAAACGCCCTGATTCCAAACTTGCTGGGGTCCTGACCTTGGGGCAGGTTTGCTCTCAGGATTCCGTTATTCATCACGTTGATGAATGCTCCAATGCTGTGCCAGCCTTTGTTATTGAACCAGATCTGACAGGAGATGTTCCGTAATTTATTATTTGAACCTGTAATCTACACACTGTCCTACAAGTGTGTTTTTAAATTCAGGTCAGGTGTGATAAAGCAATACAACCCCATGATGATGGAGTGGATAATCAATCACAGACTCCTCTTCTCACCTTGACGTTGTTCTTTGTGTCCAAACCGTTGATGAAACCTGACAAACTGTCGAGGAATCGATCGGCAGCAGCTCCCTGCAGGAAATGATCAATGAACTCTTTGATGTGGAAGTGTTTTCAAGATCTTACAAAGCAGCTCTTATAAACACACATCACTTCCAATGAGAACTTTCTGCTCATTTAAGTGTGTGAAGATTTGAGATCAATTTGGATCTCGCTCTGGATCTTTCCATATTTATTCAAGAAAC